TTTTTGCAATACAAGTCACGGTTCCTAATGCAGTAATATTATGCAATGATCTGAAAATCACAAATTTGTGGGTGTCTTCATTTCTGCAGAAAGCCGTCTCCAATTTGATATCAAGAAGGACAAACGTCCTTATACATGCAACCAAAATACATGCTCTAATAACTTTGAACAGGGCCTACCCTGTCACAGCAATCGGAAAGACGGCAACACAGTATGCCGGTTTCCCATTAGAAATACATTACCTCTGCTCTTCCTGGCCATACTATAGTCTCAATGTGTTCCGAACTATAGTCAAATACATATCTATATAAACTTTCTCTGTCAACCGTCGACCATTAAAAGTAATTAAAAGTTCCGCCTTTACATCACAGTAAGTCACCGTCACGTGTTACAAATCCACACAATATCAGACTGTCTATTCTCGACACATACTTTGATTTTCTTTACCATACGGTGCAAGAGAGAGGTCCGACACGCCCAACATAGGGCGCGGCCATTTTGATTCCTATGCCACAGTTTATAGCTAAAGAATCAGATCGCTCACTCTGCGTCGGCACTTTTGATCTCAATGTTTCAGTTTATACACTGCGCAACTCGGATAATACAATATATGACAACCTCCTACAATAAAACAGCAGTCTTCTGCGTATCCTGAATTTGTATTCCTGGAGAGGATGTTATTTTGGAACTTTTAACTGGTCCGAGTGAGCTAACTGATTCTTTAGCAATAAACTGTGACTTCAAAAATAATATTCACTGACACCACATACTTTGATTTTCTCTTACTATACGGAGAATGGTCGCAATGCGCAGCTTTCTAAGTGCCTTTTAAAAGGAAATAGAAAACTCCGCCATTTTGATTCCTTATTACGTGTTGCCTACATCTTGGCGCAATATTTTTAATATGTGCGTTTTAATAATCCGCTTCTGCTTCGGAATTGTCGGTTTTCTTGTTTTAATCTGACAGGTTAAAACGACTAAACCGACAATTCCGGAAGCAGAGGCGGATGATTAAAACGCACCTGATATTTTGCTTGCTGCTGTCAGTGTCAGTCACATACTTTGATTACTATACGAGGCAAGAGAGAGGTCCGACACGCCCAACATAGGGCGCGGCCATTTTGAATCCTTTGACATAGTTTACAGCTAAAGAATCAGATCGCTCACTCTGCGTCGGCACTTTTGATCTCAATGTTTCAGTTCATACACTGTGTAATTCGGATAATACAATATATGACAAACGCCTATAATAAAACAGCAGTCTTCTGCGTATCCTGATTTTGTATCCCTGGAGTGGATGTTATTTTGGAACTTTCAACTGGTCCGAGTAAGCTAACTGATTCTTTAGCAATAAACTGTGACTTCAAAAATAATATTCATTGACACTGACAGCAGCAAGCAAAATATCAGGTGCGTTTTAATCATCCGCTTCTGCTTCCGGAATTGTCGGTTTAGTCGTTTTAACCTGTCAGATTAAAACAAGAAAACCGACAATTCCGAAGCAGAAGCGGATGATTAAAACGCACCTATTAAAAATATTGCGCCAAGATGTAGGCAACACGTAATAAGGGTTCAAAATGGAGGAGTTTTCTATCTCCTTTGAAAAGGCAGTCAAATTTAATCAAATTTAATCAAATTTAATCAAATTTAATCAAATTTAATCAAATTTAATCAAATTTAATCAAATTTAATCAAATTTAATCAAATTTAATCAAATTTAATCAAATTTAATCAAATTTAATCAAATTTAATCAAATTTAATCAAATTTAATCAAATTTAATCAAATTTAATCAAATTTAATCAAATTTAATCAAATTTAATCAAATTTAATCAAATTTAATCAAATTTAATCAAATTTAATCAAATTTAATCAAATTTAATCAAATTTAATCAAATTTAATCAAATTTAATCAAATTTAATCAAATTTAATCAAATTTAATCAAATTTAATCAAATTTAATCAAATTTAATCAAATTTAATCAAATTTAATCAAATTTAATCAAATTTAATCAAATTTAATCAAATTTAATCAAATTTAATCAAATTTAATCAAATTTAATCAAATTTAATCAAATTTAATCAAATTTAATCAAATTTAATCAAATTTAATCAAATTTAATCAAATTTAATCAAATTTAATCAAATTTAATCAAATTTAATCAAATTTAATCAAATTTAATCAAATTTAATCAAATTTAATCAAATTTAATCAAATTTAATCAAATTTAATCAAATTTAATCAAATTTAATCAAATTTAATCAAATTTAATCAAATTTAATCAAATTTAATCAAATTTAATCAAATTTAATCAAATTTAATCAAATTTAATCAAATTTAATCAAATTTAATCAAATTTAATCAATTTAATCAAATTTAATCAAATTTAATCAAATTTAATCCAATTTAATCAAATTTAATCAAATTTAATCAAATTTAATCAAATTTAATCAAATTTAATCAAATTTAATCAAATTTAATCAAATTTAATCAAATTTAATCAAATTTAATCAAATTTAATCAAATTTAATCAAATTTAATCAAATTTAATCAAATTTAATCAAATTTAATCAAATTTAATCAAATTTAATCAAATTTAATCAAATTTAATCAAATTTAATCAAATTTAATCAAATTTAATCAAATTTAATCAAATTTAATCAAATTTAATCAAATTTAATCAAATTTAATCAAATTTAATCAAATTTAATCAAATTTAATCAAATTTAATCAAATTTAATCAAATTTAATCAAATTTAATCAAATTTAATCAAATTTAATCAAATTTAATCAAATTTAATCAAATTTAATCAAATTTAATCAAATTTAATCAAATTTAATCAAATTTAATCAAATTTAATCAAATTTAATCAAATTTAATCAAATTTAATCAAATTTAATCAAATTTAATCAAATTTAATCAAATTTAATCAAATTTAATCAAATTTAATCAAATTTAATCAAATTTTATCAAATTTAATCAAATTTAATCAAATTTAATCAAATTTAATCAAATTTAATCAAATTTAATCAAATTTAATCAAATTTAATCAAATTTAATCAAATTTAATCAAATTTAATCAAATGTATTCAAATTTATTCAAATTTATTCAAATTTATTCAAATTTATTCAAATTTATTCAAATTTATTCAAATTTATTCAAATTTATTCAAATTTATTCAAATTTATTCAAATTTATTCAAATTTAATCAAATTTAATCAAATTTAATCAAATTTAATCAAATTTAATCAAATTTAATCAAATTTAATCAAATTTAATCAAATTTATTCAAATTTAATCAAATTTAATCAAATTTAATCAAATTTAATCAAATTTAATCAAATTTAATCAAATTTAATCAAATTTAATCAAATTTAATCAAATTTAATCAAATTTAATCAAATTTAATCAAATTTAATCAAATTTAATCAAATTTAATCAAATTTAATCAAATTTAATCAAATTTAATCAAATTTAATCAAATTTAATCAAATTTAATCAAATTTAATCAAATTTAATCAAATTTAATCAAATTTAATCAAATTTAATCCAATTTAATCAAATTTAATTAAATTTAATCAAATTTAATCAAATTTAATCAAATTTAATCAAATTTAATCAAATTTAATCAAATTTAATCAAATTTAATCAAATTTAATCAAATTTAATCAAATTTAATCAAATTTAATCAAATTTAATCAAATGTATTCAAATTTATTCAAATTTATTCAAATTTATTCAAATTTATTCAAATTTATTTAAATTTATTCAAATTTATTCAAATTTATTCAAATTTATTTAAATTTATTCAAATTTATTCAAATTTATTCAAATTTATTCAAGTTTATTCAAATTTATTCAAATTTATTCAAATTTATTCAAATTTATTCAAATTTATTCAAATTTATTCAAATTTATTCAAATTTATTCAAATTTATTCAAATTTATTCAAATTTATTCAAATTTATTCAAATTTATTCAAATTTATTCAAATTTATTCAAATTTATTCAAATTTATTCAAATTTATTCAAATTTATTCAAATTTATTCAAATTTATTCAAATTTATTCAAATTTATTCAAATTTATTCAAATTTATTCAAATTTATTCAAATTTATTCAAATTTATTCAAATTTATTCAAATTTATTCAAATTTATTCAAATTTATTCAAATTTATTCAAATTTATTCAAATTTATTCAAATTTATTCAAATTTATTCAAATTTATTCAAATTTATTCAAATTTATTCAAATTTATTCAAATTTATTCAAATTTATTCAAATTTATTCAAATTTATTCAAATTTATTTAAATTTATTCAAATTTATTCAAATTTATTCAAATTTATTCAAATTTATTCAAATTTATTCAAATTTATTCAAATTTATTCAAATTTATTCAAATTTATTCAAATTTATTCAAATTTATTCAAATTTATTCAAATTTATTCAAATTTATTCAAATTTATTCAAATTTATTCAAATTTATTCAAATTTATTCAAATTTATTCAAATTTATTCAAATTTATTCAAATTTATTCAAATTTATTTAAATTTATTCAAATTTATTCAAATTTATTCAAATTTATTCAAATTTATTCAAATTTATTCAAATTTATTCAAATTTATTCAAATTTATTCAAATTTATTCAAATTTATTCAAATTTATTCAAATTTATTCAAATTTATTCAAATTTATTCAAATTTATTCAAATTTATTCAAATTTATTCAAATTTATTCAAATTTATTCAAATTTATTCAAATTTATTCAAATTTATTCAAATTTATTCAAATTTATTCAAATTTATTCAAATTTATTTAAATATATTCAAATTTAATCAAATTTAATCAAATTTAATCAAATTTAATCAAATTTAATCAAATTTAATCAAATTTAATCAAATTTAATCAAATTTAATCAAATTTAATCAAATTTAATCAAATTTAATCAAATTTAATCAAATTTAATCAAATTTAATCAAATCAATTTTGTTACAGGTTGTTAAAATGTTCATCTCCGTGGTTATGATATTTGGAGTTTGCTGGTTGCCATACCACGGTTACTTCATTTACGTGTACTTCGATACAAATATTTTGTTCTATAAATATACACAACATGTTTATCTAGGATTTTATTGGTTTGCTATGTCAAATGCAATGGTCAATCCAATCATTTATTATTGGATGAATGCTAGGTGAGTAATGTAAAGGGTGAATCATAAATCATTATATGTAGGTATACATCTACTCAAAAATACTATTCCAAAGTTAAAATAAAATTTAAGTACAGCGGCTAACGCTTGTAAGATACCTATATCAAAAAGTTGCACTTGATATTTCATTTAAATGCAATAATAGAAACATGGCCTACTATAATATTAGTATTATTAATAAAAACAGTAAGTAGGTATTTAACTGCCTAGTGTACCAAAAAAAATTAGGAACCTAAGGGCCGATTCCACCGTTGTGTTAAACGGAGATTAAAATGACACTGTTAATGTAAACATGTCATTTTAAACTTCGTTTAACACAACGGTGGAATCGTTCCTTAATCGTGAAACTTTGGTTTCGAAATATCTAATGTCAAACTCTTCTTTATTAGGCATTCCAAACAAAATTGCTACCAGTGGGTTTTGATATAGCAAAATTGATCATTTATATTTTTCAAAATAAACATAAGCTTATGCCTTAAACTAAAAATATAGTTAATTATTTTTTTACCATATTCAAAGGCTGAAAATTGGTTTCTAGGCACATTTTTACTAAACTGATTCTGATCAATGAGTACTTGCGAGGAAATATTGCCACCCGCTTTGAGCAATCCATAGAAATATATTTGTATCAGTGTTGCCACATCTAAACAGTCAGTTCCCACTTATCAGCATTTTGACAGGTTGTTGGAATGCCTAATTGAAATCATAATATTTTCCTAATAAGCGAGAGTTGTCAAGTCATAAATAGTAAATTACCTACCTACAGCACCTTACCTACAATACCTTACCTACATCACCTTACCTACAGTACCTTACCTATAGTACCTTACCTACAGTACCTTATCTACAGTTACCTAGAGTGCCAAGTCTACATTAATTTATGTTTTGTAGGTTTCGAAAATACTTCAAATTTGCAGTCTGCGTTTGGATAACGTGTAAAGTACGGAGAAAAAGTACTGAAAACTCTTCCCCATTCAATGGGAGACATTTTAATTCCATGTCCAAATCAGGCAAGTATATTATTGGCTTCAATAATCTTTGTACCAAACGTCAATGTACATCCATTATTATTACAGCATCTACTAAATAGATAGATATTATGCAAAAATTAAATTCTGTTCCTATGTCTTTTCATTAATAATAAATGGCCTTAATTGGCTTATTTTGAACATGAATTTCTTTTTTACTTTACGACAATAAAACTAAGGTTACAAAAGCTTAAACCAAATAGAAATTCTCCAACAAATGCTATAATTAGCCGAAAAATCAAGTGCTTCCTTAATAAATTAATGTTGTGGCTTATCATGTTATTCCAATAAGCCCTTAGCTTGTACATTTGCTTGGGCGAAATTTAGCCCGATGCTATTTTTACGTATAACTCTAATTAAATTCCATAAATAGTTTTATATAATAGATGTGTATTTATTCTTCTTATCCTACAAACGCCTGTGTGAAAATCCGCTACTGAGAATAATCCTAATCATTATTATTCATATAACAGTATGGTACAAATGTAAGAAATAAATTCGCTGACTTCTGGAAAAATTCTGACACGCCTCTGTTTTTATTGCGCGCTCTGTCAGATATTCCTTTTATTCGTAACGTTATCTGTGTAAGCGTGATGACGTTATCGATTATTTTTTAAAATAGAAATGTAGTCCATGCGATACATCATTTGAAAGGTCTTTTAATTATCATTCCAACCATATCGTTAATGTCATGTAATTAAGGTTTCAAGAATCAATTTTCGATGCTCTGTAAATAATCAAGAGTAAGTTTGATAAAAGCCGTCTCTGGAAAGAAAATGTTAGTTTCTTATTTGATTTTATTTAAGTAAGGTTCTTCTTAAAATTGCTAAATTCAAATTAAACTTATTTGACTATTCGACTGGTAAAATGTAAATAATAGTAGAATACATGTTATTCAAAAAGTTTTATCAAAATTAAGCTTGCTGAAACGCAAATAATTTAAATTCTGATAATGAAAGGTTGTGGAGGGCAAAACAAGAATGCATATACGTCTATGCTTTATTCAACATCCCAACCAAGAACCAATTTCGCAATCTATTAGAACCAAAATTAAGAATAAATTTAGACCCCCATAAAGGTAGTACAAAACAAATAGCAGAATACAAGACAATAGTAGTAAAATGTTTAAAGAAAATCCCTACCAGTTATTAGACTAAAACATCAAATATTCAAAAGTTCAGAAAAGTGGCATCCATATTAAGCTACTTTTTAGTTCACGTGCTTCTGAATGACAATTTTGATAGATGAATTAGGCATTCCAAACTGAATGGCTACCAGTGGGTTTTGGGATATAGCAAAATTATGGCAACCCTGTAGGCCTGGTGATTTGAGAAGGTCAATGAAATAGATAGTTACATAGATTGATCATCCATATTTTTCAAAATAAACATAAGCTTATGCCTTGAAGTAAAAATGTAAGAAATATTTTTTTTTTAATGTCTAAAGGCTAAATATTAGTTTTAAAACACATTTTTTCTAAACCGATTTAAATTAATAAATATTTGCCAGGCAATATGGTCGCTCGTAAACGACTAGCTTTGAGCAATCTATATAACTATATATGTATCATTGACCCTGTTATTCACAACATAACAACAGGGTTGCCATATCTAAACTGTCATTACCCACTGGTAGCCATTTGGACAGGTCGTTGGAATGCCTAATTGAATTTTACAAAATTATGATGAAAAAAAAAAACGGAGATTCAATATTTTTAAAGAAGTTTTATGTCGCTACGGAAAATCCACATTGTATGCATAAATATCATACTCAATACCCGGAGATATTGAATGTATGGGCGGGAATAATAGATAATAGAATTAGAAGATCATAGTTTTTCACCTTAAAAGTTCCTCAATATTTAGAATTTCTGCAAAATTTCATACTACCCAAAATGAACCGATTGTTCCCAAACGGGGGTCGATTCTCGACTTGTAGGAATCTGATTCCGACGAAAATGAATTCCTACGATAATATTCATACAATGTATTTGTGAGCATTCTTGAACACGGTAGGAATCCAATTTCCTGTAGAAGTTTAAATTTTAGTATGTCAATAGTAATTTCAAGATTTCATAGAAATTGACCAATTAATTTAAATATTATTGTTTAACAGTTGGAAATTTGTTAACATATCAATTCAAATTGAACGGCTAGGTTATAGTCAATTTGTCAGTTATGGTTCCTGCTTATGAAATAAATCGAATTATTTACACTGTTTCAAAAATAATAATGAATGTATAGAGTTTAATAACCCATTATTTATTTATTAGGAATATGTATACGGTGTGGATCACTGAAGGTTTTCCAATGGGCGATAAAACAAGAGCGAGTGAAAGCTACAGAAAGTTGGCATTAGAGCGAGCGGAAAAGGAATGGTGTCAACGGTGCCATTTATACGAACCGACCGCGTTAAAACGTTGGCCAAGACCTGTAGGGTGGCATCGCTAGTTTTGTTTCTTTCCAGCTTGCCCTAGTGCTGGCACTTGTTCTGAAGGATATTGGAAGTTGTTCGATGGCCAATATTGTACATTTGAATGTAGTAAATTCACAGCATCATAAAATAAATTATAATGTTGGTATAATATTTATTGAATTCATTTTTTAATAATAACAAAACACTCTGTTTTTCGCAAACACGTCTTCAAAATCTTGTAGGATTGTTAAATTCCTTTTCCTATGAGCTTGAAAATTCATTTTCCTACATCTGTTGACTTAGAAAAATATTCCTACAAATCCAGAATATATAACCTACTTCTCCAAAAGGAAAATGAACCAACCCTATGGGAAAAAAGTCGAGAATCGACCCTCTGAAATAATTTGGGGCTGCATCAAGATGAAGCGCCCCCACACATATGTTATCTTTGTGAGAAACTACTTAAACAGATAGGTGGATTAGGCGAAGAGAATAAATCGCCTGATTTAATTCCTCTTAATTGTGTATGGGAATATTTAAAAAATAAAGTAACTGTACCAAAATAGATAACAAAATATCGATGATTTCACAGAACGCATACAGATCGAGATGCCGCAAATAACTCATTATTGAGGGTCGTCAATATGAGACCTCTCTTAAGCTAGCAGGACCAACTGGGCAGAATCGATTAAAATCTATTACATTATTTAGTACCTATTTTGTACTAATTTGTACCATCAATAAAAATTTTTGTACCATGTGCCGTTTTCAAAAAAAACGTGGCGCTGCTAGGTTAATATTAAGCTAGCAGGACCACATTAAAAAAATTAAATAAAAAATAAAACAAAGGTAGAATTAAAACGAACTGAATTTGTACCAATTTGTACCACCAATCAATTTTTTGTACTATGTACGGTTTATAGAAAAACACATGGTGCTTCTAGTTTAATATTAAGCTAGCAGGACCACATTAAAAAAATAAAATAAAAAATGAAACAAAAGTAGAATTAAAAAAAATTAAATTTGTACCAATTTGTACCACCAATAAATTTTTCGTACTATGTACCGTTTACAAAAAAACACAAGGTGCTTCTAGTTCAATATTAGGCTAGCAGGACCACATTGAAAAATACAAGGGTACAATTAAAAAGGACTGATTTTGTAACAATATGTACCATTAAAAAAACCTAATTTATTTAATCAAACTGCCTGAAACAACTTTCAAATTAATCCAAATTTGTTATAATTAAAAATAAAGAGACTTTTTGCAGAAAAAGAATCTATTGCTATTTTTGCCTAAAACACAACATAATTTGTACCGTTAAAATATCAATTTTCAGAATATGCACCTCTGCCGTTCCTTAGAAACTATCCTAAATTCATATTCCTTTTAAACAGCAAAATCAATCGTTACTTCTCTAATAAAAGTACGTTAAAATGTAAATTGTTAGATTCTGTACTCTTGCCGTTCCTATAGAAACTAACCTAAATTCATATTAGGCTCAAGAGTAAAGTACCCTTTTGCACGAGCAGAATCAGTAGTTACTCCTGCAATGAAAGTAACATAATTTGTACCACTAAAATATGAAATTTCAGATTTTGTACCCCTGCCGTTCCTATAGAAATTAACCTAAATTAATATTAGGCTCAAGAGTAAAGTACCCTTTTGCACGAGCAGAATCAATAGTTACAATGAAAGTAACATAATTTGTACCACTAAAATATGAAATTTCAGATTTTGTACCCCTGCCATTCCTATAGAAATTAACCTAAATTCATATTAGGCTCAAGAGTAAAGTACCCTTTTGCACGAGCAGAATCAATAGTTACTCCTGCAATGAAAGTAACATAATTTGTACCACTAAAATATAAAATTTCAGATTTTGTACCCCTGCCGTTCCTATAGAAATTAACCTAAATTCATATTAGGCTCAAGAGTAAAGTACCCTTTTGCACAAGCAGAATTATTAGTTACTCCTGCAATGAAAGTAACATAATTTGTACCTCTGAAATGTAAAATTTCAGATTTTGTATCTCTGCCGTTCCTATAGAAATTAACCTAAATTAATATTAGGCTCAGGAGTAAAGTACCCTTTTGCACGAGCAGAATCAATAGTTACTCCTGCAATGAAAGTAACATAATTTGTACCACTAAAATATGAAATTTCAGATTTTGTACCCCTGCCGTTCCTATAGAAATTAACCTAAATTCATATTAGGTCTGGTTTTCCTTTAGCCCTAGCCTTCTGAATTGCCAATTTCCTCTTTTTGGTGCCTAAGAGTCATTCAGGTGACGTCAGGCGAGTCCTGTTGAGTTTTAAGGCAACTCGATTCAGTCTAGTTTCTTCCTTGGGGTTTGTGAAAGTGCGACTTGCCTCCGAAGGTTGTTCCACCTTAGGACGTTGTGCAGAGGTTGATGGAGACGAAGTTAATTCTTCTGGAATCGCTTTGGTTTCCATTCCCTCTGTTGTTTGTTATTGTAGAAGGTTTTTCCCTTCTGGGAGTTCCCTGTCCTCGGTTGTTTTTGGGTTTTACTGATCCATATTGGTCCCACGAGTAGCTAGGGAAATGGAAATAAATGTCCACCTGATCAGAGCCCCGCATGACCGGGTAAGGCTAGATACAAGGGGGTTTCGCCAAGTGCCCCAGAGGAACGTTCGCAACCTCCTTCAGCACATTGCCTTACACCTTAGCTTGGGTTTTTGTTGAAGTGTCATTCAGTTAGTTAATAGTGTTGCTCTAGAGCAGAAGTATTACCGTATCCAGCGGTGCCATGAGAAGGCAGCCACTCAATGATTGCATTTCTTCATTGTCCATATAGAAAGAGATACCTACAAGCAGATAAGCAACGAGCAAGCAATCTAAACTACAGAGCAATGGCCAAGCTACAATCAATCCCGCAGTGAATATAAAATTGTTTAGTTTGTTTTTTAATTTTTGTTTAGATTTTAAATTTAGGTTGATTTCTAGTCTCAAAAGTCAAACACAAAAAGTATTAAATTCTAACTTGTCATTGTCATTTTTACTACATCTAGAACGTTTGTTTATTACATTTTACATTTAAATCTAATCCTCTACTACATGATAAAAAATTCACAACATCTCGGATGCATCCAATGTGGATATTCCACATACTTTGATTTTCTTTTACTATACGGAGAATGGTCGGACTGCGCAGCTTTCTGAGTGCCTTTTAAAAGGAGATAGAACACTCCGCCATTTTGATCCCTTATTACGTGTTGCCTACATCTTTGCGCAATATTTTTAATTGGTGCGTTTTAATCATCTGCTTCTGCTTCGGAATTGTCGGTTTTCTTGTTTTAATCTGACAGGTTAAAACGACTAAACCGACAATTCCGGAAGCAGAAGCGGATGATTAAAACGCACCTGATATTTTGCTTGCTGCTGTCAGTGTCAGTGAATATTATTTTTGGAATCACAGTTTATTGCTAAAGAATCAGTTAGCTCACTCGGACCAGTTGAAAGTTCCAAAATACCATCTACTCAAGGGATACAAATTCAGGATACGCAGAAGACTGCTGTTTTATTATAGGCGGTTGTAATATATTGTATTATCCGAGTTGCGCAGTGTATAAACTGGAACATTGAGATCAAAAGTGCCGACGCAGAGTGAGCGATCTGATTCTTTAGCTATAAACTGTGGCATAGGAATCAAAATGGCCGCGCCCTATGTTGGGCGTGTCGGACCTCTCTCTTGCACCGTATAATAATCAAAGTATGCAGGATATTCAAATGCAGCAAGGTTCAATGCTACATATAATATAGTTATATAGATTACTCAAAGCAGGTCGTTTTGTGAGCGGCCATATTGCCTCACAAATGTGTTTTAAGTCAATTTTTACTCTTTGAACCCAGTATAAGTAATAATACAGTAGCAACAATTCATTGTTTATGAGAGTTCCATATTTTTCTGCGCATGTCCGTAAATAAGCGGCAAATACGTCAAACTGGCATATGTGAATAGTCAATGGATTAATGTTAGTTGATTGTTTTGATTATCTGATTGGTTGTAATGCACATTTTATTACATTTTTATTATATTTAGACTTAGTTTTCATCTTTCATTTATTGTGTGATATTTTATTCAAACAGACAAAGGGTCAAGATATTTTAAAGTTACTTATTGCAGTGTAGAAATAAGCGGCAAAAACGTCAACTGTCAATAAAAATCTGACCACCTCGACATCAAAGGAGCCCACTCAAGCTGTCGCTACTGTATTATTAATTATACTGGGCTTTGAATATAGTTTGTTTTGAAAATCATGGATGATTAATCTATATAACTATCTTATCATTGGCCCTGTCAAATCACCAGGCCCACAGGGTTGCCGTCTCATAACCTGTCATTACCCACAGGCAACACATACTTTGATTACTATTTGGTGCGAGAGGTCCGACACGCCCAACATAGGGCGCGGCCATTTTGATGGCTTTAGCACAGTTTATAGCTAAAGAATCAGTTCGCTCACTCTGCGTCGGCACTTTTAATCTCTTTGTTCCAATTTATACACGTAACTCGGATAATACAATATATGACAACCGCCTATAATAAAACAGCCGTCTTCTGCGCATCCTGAATTTGTATCCCTGGAGTGGATGTTATTATGTAATTTTCAACTGGTCCGAGTAAGCTAACTGATTCTTCAGAAATAAACTATGAGTCCAAAAATATTATTCACTGACACTGACAGTAGCAAGCAAAATATCAGGTTCGTTTTAATCATCCGCTTCTGCTTCCGGAATTGTCGGTTTAGTCGTTTTAACCTGTCAGATTAAAACAAGAAAACCACCAATTCCGAAGCAGAAGCGGATGATTAAAACGCACCTATTAAAAATATTGCGCCAAGATGTAGGCAACACGTAATAAGGCATCAAAATGGCGGCGTTTTCTATCTCCTTTTAAAAGGCACTCAGAAAGCTGCGCAGTGCGACCATTCTCCGTATAGTAAGAGAAAATCAAAGTATGTGACGGGCAACCATTTTGTTTAAAATCCCTATTTTTTCCTCAATTAGGCATTCTAACGTTCTGTCAAACGGTTGATTGATGAACTTTTGATATAGAAACGTTCATTTACTTATCTTTTTAAGTTGTTGAACATAATTATTTTAAATAAATTTGTGTGAGGGAAGATTTATAACAAAAACAACGTGTAATGTGTAATTTTATTAATAATTTTATCATTAATATCACGTAATAATTGGGTTTGTGCGCCATCTTCATCAGGAAACGAGGCAAACATTTTAACTGTCAAAATCTAAATCACACAATGGCGTTTAAATTTCTGTTTCGTCAAATGTGGGTACTTATATTTTATTATCCATAATGAAATATTATGTATTTTATACGCAAACTTTTACACAAACTTTTCCAAACGTTTAACCCGCAGTATGCTTTTCAAAATGGTCCCCTTACTATCAAAAAAATCAATTCAAATATAGTGATAACACTCTGTAAACCAACAAACAATAATAATTCCCCTGTGATTAAATAGGAAGATGTCCCTACTAATCATAACTTTAATGGCCTGTGTCGTTTTAGGTGGTAATGGAACAATCAAAGTCCGAGTTACAAGCCCCAGAGACAAAGAACCAGGATATCACAACGGAAATCCGCTACAGGAATACTCTACTGCAAATAGATCCAACAATGCTGACACAGAGAGTTTGAAAAGCAGGAAATGGTCCAACAGGTCGAGGAAGAAAATTAAAACGACAACAGAATTGTAACGAACGAGTCGGGGTGACTCAAATATACAAAAATGTTGTGATATTTTTACTAGTCAAGAAATTGAATATATTATCAATATATATTTGTTCTTGTTACTTTCGTTTGATAAGGATGTTAACAATAAATGTATGTATATGTAAATTTGTTTTATTTATCTTTTCTACTAACATGATACTTGATATTTTATCTATTTGTTATAGTGTGTTTAAGCTCTATTAATTTTAAGCGTGGGAGTAAAGGAGCAACACGGGTTCGGCCTCATTCCCCATGTTAATTCCCATAAGAAATCGCTAAGGTTCATTCTGCACTTTTTTGTCCATATCAAGGTCATTCGTCTTGACGTCACGTGTCATGACGTCACTAGCCAACTCTTGCCAACCTAACCTAACCTTACTCGACCTTGTGGCCTTGTTGCCCGCCTGCTATATCTGCCGCTAGATGGAGTCACTTATTAATTAATTTATTATTCCGCAACTTACTATACATCATTATTCGATATCACAGCAACTCAACATACACCATTATTAATTTTATTTATTAAAGAAAAAAAGCTGATACCGCGGGGAATCGATCCATCGACCTAGAGATTACCAGTCGGCATCTTTATCGCTAGGCCACGTAGACTTTTAAGAAATTCTTACTTTATATTGTATACATAAAAAAAGAGATAACACTGGGTCGCGGTCGATAACGATATACTCGGTTTACTAAAAGACGGTAAAAGACATCGGACGTTATTATTGGTCTGATTTAAATAGTACAAACGGCACTAATAGAAAGGAAGTGTGACGTAGATTACCGTTGAAAAGAAAAATCATGCGATTGCCAAAAAGGCATTAACATATCTTTGTTATTATTGGTCAGATTCAAACGGGAGAAACGGCATTATGAAGAGAACGATTAACGTCAAACAGAAAAATCATGCGCAGAACGAAAAAGCCAGAATGGCCTTAGCATGTATCACGTGGTCCGATTTGAACGGGCCAAACGGCATTCGGCGTGAACTGTCACTTAGCTGTCATGGCGCCATTTGTCATCTATACAGGTGGGTCTGAAGAGTATTGACGAGCCTAGCTCGTATTGTAGAAAACGGAAATGTACCGAAATATACATTTATAATAAATCATGTACAGTAGCATTGTTAAAAAGGCATTAACGTTTATCTCTAATAGTTCGTTCGATTCAAACGAACATACTGCATCCATTGGTATTCATTTAAAATGAAAATCATCTGATCGCCAAGAAAGTACTATCTTTTACCATTGCGTCTGAAGAGTATTGATGAGCCTAGCTCATACTTTAGAAATAAAAGTGTCCACACAGAACAATGTAACACGTCTTTAATGAATATAAATTAATTGGTGATGAATAGGAGAATTAAAAAAGTAAACAATTGTTCGAATATTAAAAAAGGTCATAGTTCAAATAACAGATATCACAATCATTTTAAAATGTATGTATATACATTGTTAATAGTTAATTTAGATTTGGTTTCCAGAGAAGTTTATTTAAAAATAAAAAAAGTGTGTTGCACTATTTTAAGATAATATAAAAGTAAATTTTGTTCAAAGTGATTTATCATTTAACTAAAGCAGGTAAGTCAAATAATTATTAAATTAAAAATGGGTCATATAGTTATTTACTTTATTTATTGTATACTAAAAAACAATTATAATATTTATTTAATATTAATATTTTAACAATCAATGATTTTCAGTACATAATTTATGATTTTTTTTTTTCGTTTTGCATACTAGATCACACTAGAAATTCCTTGTTGTAATTTAAGAGAATCCAAGGGTTAACTTACAATGTTTTCTTTTATCCTTGCATTTATAATGTTAAGACAGCATTTGTTTGTAGTTAATGATTTGTTCTGGCGACATTCAATACAGGTATAAATACCGTCACTAATATAAGACTAATTTATATAAGATTTTACAGTTTTATATTAAAAATAAAATTAAACAAAAACAAAGCATTATTCTTCTTGGTTTCCGCAAAATTAAGTCTGAATTTTTTCTAGACTAAACGTAAAACCATGAACAACTAAAGATTTATTTTCAGTGAATTTTTCCTAATTATATTTTCCACAATATAAAAACACTTTTAATCTGAGCAATAGGATAATAATTTTTATGGTTACCAATTAAATATGCTACAGTGTGATTAGTGAATGTCTAATTTCAGTTCCTAAAAGTTCTTCTCGTAAAAAGAGAAAGTTGGAAGTATTTAATACTATATTGGCTTTAATTATTTTATATAGGTTGAATATTCCTGGCTCAGTTGAAAATAAATAATTTTCTACCTGAACTTCACCTAATTGATTTCTGTAAGCTAAACGTATATAACTAAAATTAGACAATACATCAAAAGTATTTTTTCTGAAAAATGTTTTCAATTATTTTATTTTTAGATGTCTCCTTTTAGTATAGGTCATAATTAATAATGAACCACATATTTATACTTTTTTAAATGAATTATGTCTAGGTTATAATTGAAAAACCTTTTAATTAATTATAAATTAGAAACAATTACCTTAGTTTTGTTACAAGGGCTTGTCTGAAAATACTCAGGACAAGTCAAAATTTTAATTTTGACATTCTAATTATTAATGAGGCTACGATAAACATAGCATACTACTTCCTCTACTACACCGGCTGTATACGTTTTAAATCATATTCCAGACATTAGATTTTGTTCTTTCTTACATAAGATTCTTCTTCCTCTCTTAGTATCTTCACTGAAATATAAAAGTATGTTTTTGATTAAATTAGCTTCTTAAATAACAAATATATTTTTTTATTTTTAAAATTTTTAAATAATTAGGTCACTTACAGAAAAGTTTTAAGATATCCATTCAAGATGTAATTGATTATAAATTAATCAAGTAAATAAAAACGAACTATTATTTATTTAGTTTGTCATCATAGACTCGATGCATTTTTTTTTTTTTTTTTTTGTGAAATAGTGTATATACTTCATGTTTTTTTTTTTTTGATATGATAGAATTTTGATGAATAAACACTTATATTAATCATTAAATTGTATATATTTTAAAGCTGATTTCCTAATTTTAATTTTATTTTTTTTTATCATCATTATTCGATCTGATGATTATAACGCTGATATTACATTTAAAGAATTCATTTTTGATCTAAAATCAATAAAGTATGTCGTGATACTCTTATTCTCGTTTTTCATCAAACTTAAAACGTTATTATTCCTACTCGGAATGTCAAAAAAGTTATTGTCTGGATACTTAATCTGATTTATCAAATTTATCTTTATCGTTTTTATATGTTTATAAATATCAAAGTCTCAGAAATGATAAATTAAACTGTCTGTGTCTGTATACTTTAATTTTGCTATACTATTAAACTCTTTTTTATAAAATTATGATAAAAGTCGTAAATAACAGTTTTATAAATGTCTAATATTGATGTTTCTATAAAAGTTGGTTTGTTTAAAGTTACTTTTAGTTTACTTATTTCAATAATTACCATATTTTCACTAAATATAGTACAACTATGAAAATTATGTTGTGAAATGTATCTTTCTATTCATTTAGTCACTAACCTAAAGTCTTTATATTTTTTGTTTCGTTATCGATTGTTTTGCAGTAGGTGAGTGTTTGTCATTAATTTCGAAAAGTTTTTTTTATTTATTTTTACTCTGTTTTCGTATATCTATGTTTAAGTCAACAATCAACATGAATGTTTGAATTTAAGACAACGATGCATTTTTCTGACTCCAGTTCCCGACAGAATAGCTTGTTTTAATGCTATAAAATTATTTTCTTCTTCCAGAGTTAGGTTTATTTGTTCTAGATTACTGCGAATCTACAAACCAATTCAAACAGTCACGACCAAATTTTGATTGATATTTTCATATATGTAAAACTAAATGCTTCTTGCTTTTGATACATTTGTGTATTACTTGTTTACAAAGTCAATATCTACATAAATTTCAAAAAAAAGACAAATTCTTTGTTTTTATGGTCTTTAAATTTCTTAATTTTGTGTGTTTTGTTGAGGATAACAACTTTGGTTTTACCAATTTTTTTATAATGTTCTGTATGTTGTTCTTAATAAAATCTACTCAAACCAATGATATTACCTACCCAATTATTAATTAGCTAAACGTAATAAATCATTTATAGAAGGAAAGTGAAAAAAAAATTAAAAAAAAAAAAAATTAAAAAAATTTTGTATCATTATTATTTCTATAACTATTCCAATTATTTTCAGAAAAAATCACAAGCAAAGTTATTTGAGGAGAAAATTTATTTATGCTAAAATTTTATATTTTGCTTTAACAATTATCTAATTTATAGAAAGTTCATTTAATGCTTCGAATTTGGGTATATCTTTCAAGTTTATAGGAGTTATCTTTTTACTTTCCTATCTGTATACAGATATAAGGAAAGTATAGGAATCATGATTTTTTTCGACCTCGAGTTTTCGACGGATTTTTACGTTTTGAGGTCCCCTGAATCCGTTTTGACTATTTTCGCGATGATGTCTGTGTGTGTGTGTGTCTGTGTGTGTGTGTGTCTGTATAACGCATAACTCATGAACCGATACACGGAAAAACACCAAATTTCAAACTTAAGCTTTGTTCCAACGTCCAATGAGCTGATTAGATTTTGGGCAGAGTCGGAACATCTGGGGGGGTACTTTATAGGTGGTCATTTTTATATTTTATGGAATATATCTGTTATTTACGTTTGAGAAAGAAAATTCTTCAAATGAAAGTTACTTCTTATTTTATTATCTATAATTTTTGTTATATACAAAATTTTCCTAAAATGGTCCGTATTCGCGAAATTTGACAAAATGTAAAAAAATATTTTTTTTTATAAAAATTGTTCAAACAAAAGTTGTTTGTAATATAATTCTCTATAATTTTTATCCTATAGATAATTTCTCTAAAATGGACCGTATTCGAGATATTTGAGGAAATGTGTAAATTTCGAAATTTGAAGAAAACTCAAAAATGGATAAAGAAAAAAACATTAAATTTTAAACTTAAGTTTTATTTCGGCCTGACGTGAAATGATTAGATTTTGGACAAAGTCGGAACATCTGGGGGGGTACTTTATGGGAGGCCGTT